GGGCTCTCCCACAGGCTTCCTTGAACTGCTCTGAAACCTCCCCAGCCTCTTTCCCAGCTGCAAAGACACTTTTGCAAACCTACTTGGATGTTACCAAGTTCTGAAAGCTGTTAAGTTCAGAACCTTGACTTCAGGAAAAATCTGTAATGAAGGCCCAGTGACTTGAGCTGGTCCCTACTTCAAAAGCACAGTTACTTGTTTACTTAATTTCTGTTTTGATGTATGGACACCCCCAGATGCCAGAGAGACACTGGGACATCTTGTTTGTCCTCCATCTGCTGTATCCCATCCTGTCCCTCTGGAAATGTCCCCATGTCACTCTGCTCAGGGTGCTCGCTTTATTTTGGGGCAAATAAGGGTTTCCCCATGCTGGGATTAGGTGCTGGCTGTCAGATGTGATGGGAATGTGGGGGAAGGAAAAACAGTGTTACGTAGGTAGTGTGGCAGTGGCAAGACTTGGTGGCTGGTCTGTCCTGTGCCCCAGGTGTAATGAGCCAGTGCTCTGATGGAGAAGGTAATTTTCCAGAGGGAGAGCTCTGTGGCCAGAAGTGCAAGGCCTGTGGTAGGTGCAGTATCAAGAGAGAGACTTTGGAAACTGGTCCAAACCACACCATGTTACCTTGCTGTTGTATCACTACTTGGGTATTTTTAGTAAGTGATTTCCATTTTGTTCTTCCTCCAGGATAATAAATGTGCTTCACTGTAGCAAAAGATTCCCTGGAAACAAAAGCCTGGTACAGGCAAAAGGGGGGAAAAAAATCTATTCATCAATGGGGATGCAGAATATATCTTTTCTCAAAAGGATATTACTTTTGCAACATTTCCTTCTTTCACTTATCCTGTAGCCATACTTATCTGCTGTCATATTTGAAGTAGTTTTTGTTCATTGTAATCATACTATACTAGCCTTCTTATCTTGTAGTATTGTATTCATATTCATAGACCAAAATAAAACTGGATACCTAGAACATACTTGCCCATTATTTGGAAGGCAAGTTGCACAAAGGTGTCCCTTCCAGATGGCAAAATCATTCATCCCTCCACTAATCTCCACAGCCAAAAACCCTCCACACATCCCAGGAAAAACCCATAATATAATATGATGATGTGAAAATAACTGAAGATGTGGATTTCACTTGCCATATGGAAATGCCTTTTCCTGATTTTTTTTTTCCCAAGGTCTCTGTTTTCACTATGCAAATAAGATGATCTTGACAACATACGCTTTAAAATTTCAGGTTTTTTGATGGCAGTATCTGCAAATGGAAGAACTACAAGGCTGGGTGGAAGATAAGGGACAAGTGTAGTCACAAGTTTTTCACCCTTTGTGCATCACATTCAGACTAATAAAATCAGTTATTTTCTCCCACTTTATTTATTATGTATTTACCTACACATGTTTAAACATCTCCAAAGCCTGCAGTGGAATAAATTACATACTGAAGAAATGTCTCAGGTCTGCAAGACACACCTCGTTCAAGACAAGTCTAGCCAAAGAACAAGAAAAACAAAGGAGTGCTGTGCCAGCATCATGATGGGGTTTAACCTGTGCATTTTCGTTGTAAGCTCAGCCATGTCCCACAGAGGTACATTCCATATTGCTCATTGTCTATCCAAAAAGTCTTAATTTCTCCTTGTATGTGTTCAAGCATGTCATCAGATTGAGCCCTTTGTTGTTTTCAAGTGCAAGAACAATGAAGAGCAAGAGCAATGAATCTCTGAGTCCCTCATCCTAAATTCCCTGCAGTTTGAGTAAGTGTCCTAATGCACTGGGTATTTTTTCCTAGAAAGTTCTATTTATTTGAACTAAATATGCTTGAAAAGTAAGTCTTTGATAAAGTCTACATGAGTGTCATATATTTAAAGCAGATGATCTGAAGTCTTGGAAAAGATAGCAGTGTATAAACTCTTCTTATTCTCACTTTCCACAGAGCTCATAAACTTTGCAAAAGACCTTTCACAAAAGGTAAGTGCACCAGTGGAGTTACTTCACTGCCTTTCCAAAAAAAAGAAAAAAATATAAAATCAAAACCTCCAAACTCCACTGATGCAGCAAATGAAATACTCAGCCTTCTTCCCTTCCAATATAATCAACCTCAATGACATTGGGTTCTTGCCTTCCAACTGTATAAACATACCTTAAGCCGAACAGCCAAGATTCAAGGGGAATTATAAACATTGCACGTGCAGAATTTGATTTGAATTTGCACATTGTAATTAACAACTTGCAAGGATGTTGTAATTACATCTAATAATGATAGGATGAAGATGACTGTAGTGGATTAAGATAACTACACTGTCCAAGTCATGTTGACAATATTTGCTGGCAGCTGCTGGGGTACACATACATACAATGTTTATCAGTGAAACCACCCCTGCAGGAGGGACAAATTTCAGAACCAGCCAGTGGCAGATTAGGCAGGGAAGCTGAGAGTAAAGGTCAGAAGAAACAAGATGGAAACTGGAACAGAAGGAGGAAAAGAGATCTCATCTCAGGAATGCTGTACATTTCTGTCTGTCCTTTATGTTTACATCACATCTTTGTCTCTGTGCTCAGGAAGGCGTGTAATTACACTTTGTTTAACCAGCACAAGCACTGTGTTTAGCTTGGCACAAAGTTAAACATCCCACAGAACATGATGCTGAATGCTTGTTTTCCATGACCTTTCTGGAGCACAGTAGAAAAATTTAATCCCAGAATTACTAAAACCCTCTATTTCATCACTAAGGAAGGTACAATCAGGCTCAACACAAGACCTGCATGCTCACAAATGAGATGCTCTCATGGCCTGGTCTTTTGGGTGGAATCCAAGACCAGCATCAGCCACCTCTGCCCTGCATGAGAAAAGGTGGAAGTCACAAAAGAAAAATCCCAACCCTGCATCACTGAACAAGGAAAAGTGGAGAACAGGACTGGACCTGAGGATATCCCACCTCTGTCAAGAAAGCGTCTGAGGGAAAGATCTGGAAAAGATCAGGACAGTGTTTGCAGCCTTAACAGTTAGGTCTACAGTCCTCTTCTGAGTCAGGGATAACTCACCCCCATGAAGGGCAAGGTCTGCATTTTAACGGCAAAATCTGGCAAAGGCAGAAGCCTGGCAGCATAACCCTTGCATACCTTATTTACATACAGCCTTCACATATTCTCCCACTATCTAGGTGACTCCATTGTGCCAGACATATCCAGGAAATTTTGTCCAGGAGGATTTTGAGGATTTGCTTAGACTTCCTGGGTATTTAATCACTTGAAGAGTTCAAGTGATAGATGCATGCCTATTGAGGGCATAATGCAGTCATGCAGCTCAGGAACAATGTTTCTAATGCTTTCAGAAGCATCAGTGGACTCTCCAATGTACCTGCTGGATAATGTCCTGCATGTGTGTACCAAGTCCACAATGTTTGTGTAAAAAGTGCTGGACTTATTGTGGATGTGATTCATGGTAACTCCAGACATTGCTGGACAGTCTGCACAGAGGATGACCTCCCTGGTTTGTCTGTAGATGCTGTCCAGTTTCCAGGGAAACTGTGCATGCAGCTGCAGAATTTAAAGCTATCAGAGTGAGGCAGGATAAGGAAGGAAGTGAAATGCCAAACACCTATCGAGGTCCTAGAAGTAAGGAGAAATTTCTCTTGTTTTATCTAGAGAAGCAAGGTGAAACATCTCTGTGTTTTCTGTCCAGTTAAATCTGGCATTCATACCATTCTCCAGGGCCTAACTTGGAGACCAAGAGGAGGGCTCACTTTTCAGGAAACTTAGGAGGAAATTCAGGACTGAGAAGCCCTCTACTAAGCATCATGTTCTTTCTCCTTCTCTCAAGTCTCACGTAGCAAAGGCCCATTTGCTGGCTTGACTTGGGCCCAGCCACAGAGTGATGCTGGAGCCCTGAGAGCAGGGCTGGGTGGTGATGCTCAGTGGAGCTGGTCTTGCCTGGAGCCCTACACTCACAGAGGCCTGCTGCAATTAACTCATTACAGCTGCATTTTGTGCATAGAAGGTAGAGTTTCATGACATACAATAAACCTTCAGGAACAATTTTGAAGCGCTGTAATAAATAATCCCTGAGATTGCTTCAGCAAGTGCTCTTACTGTTATTTTTAAGAAGAAGAACTGAGATTCTGAGCCCCAGAGAAAAGGTTCTTCCTTGTAATTTGAATGAGCATAAATTTTAAGAACTCTTGAACTTCCTTTCCAGCTCAAGCTAACAGCCCTTCATTCACTATTACTTGTTGCAAACCATGGACAACAGCAAATATACAGAAAGAAAAACAAAAAGGAAAAATAAAAAATAAACAGAGCACAACCAGAGTGACCCTTCTCTTGGGCTATTCTCTCACATTTGTGGTTTACGTCTTTTCAAGCTGAAGATTGCACCCAGGTCAACATGTTTAATAGCATACTTCACCAAAACTTAGTACGAACAAGAAATCCTTTCATCTTTTAAAGCTTTCTTTCATAATCACAAGGAGACTCTTTCACACGACCCACCTACTGGAGCAGTTTCAGGGCAGCATTCTGTAGCCTGACACTCCCTGGGAATATCTTGCTGCCATCTTACATTTTTACCTGCCTGTTTCTGGCACTCAGACCTGCTTGTCACACTGATGCCAGGCTTACCCACACAACTTGTTCTTTGGATGTTTGATCACCAGCAGCCGTTAAGTTTTGAGGAGCAGTGATTAGTGAGAAGAGGTTACCAGGTTCTTCTGAGAGAGGAAGAAAATCCTGTATTATTTTTTGCACCGGTACCATACCATGCGTGGGGCTTTATGTATTAAGTAATCCTCTAGATTCTTTTCTGCACAGGGGTGTGAGGGCATTTTATTTCTTCACCCGGTTAGTCAAAAGCCTCGGTGCACTTAGCGATAGTCCTTATTGCCCGTGGCTTCATATATAAATGCCGGTACTGGGTGATCCAGTTAGGAGACCCGCGGGAAGGTGACCCCGGGGATGCGACACTCTGCTTCAGATCCTGCTCCCCGCCACCCCTGCAGGCGCTTACCGTAGTCCATGAGGGAATCACAGCTCCATTCCCCGCCTTGGTCAGGCCTCCTGCAGATCTGCCACAGCGACGCTTGCAGCACGTAGGGCAAGGTCTGCGACTCCAGCCAGCCCCAGCCCGCCAGAGCGATGATGCCGAAGATGACCCCGATGCCCAGGAGCAGGGGTAGGATCCATCGGCAGCGCGTGTAGTCAAGGCCGTACTTCACCATGGCTCAGGGCAGTGCTGGCAGGACAAGGCCTCTCTGCCACAGGCTCGGCCGCCAAAGCGATGGTGCCTCTGCAGAGCTCCTGGAAAGGCGGTGCCGGCACCTGCAAACGCGTGTGCAGATGTTGGGGAAAAGCTTTTCAGCCAGGACAGACACAGCAGAGAGGGAGGGAGGGAGGGATGGAGGGAGGGAAGGAGCTCCACCTAGATTCAGATGAGTAAGAGCTGCCGCTGAGCAATAACCAGTTGAACTGGGGAGAAGCTTCGAGGCTGGGTTTATCTGTGAGATCTTCTCTGCCCTGCTGACTAGGTAACAAATCAGGAGATGTTTACCCTCAGCATTTAACACTTTCCTTCCTGACATCCCCACCAGCAGCTGTGCTTACACCTTTCCAACTTCTAAGGGATTTGCATTAAGGCAGGAGAAAGCAGAGACGTGAGGGAACAATTTGCATGACATGGTGAATGCCTCTGAGACTTACCACCTGGAGGCTGTGAGCTGCCCTGTAGGACTCCATTTAAAAATAAAATCATACCTTATTTTTTACAACAAAAGAAATTCCCATAGCTGTTATAAAGCTAAGGCAATAAAGAATGTCTCTGTTGGCTCTTCCCTTTCTGAAGCATAGGTACAGAAGAAAAGAAAAATACTGTATGATCTGGATATAGCCTTAATGGGAGAACAAAAGCTGAGTTCTCATTTGACTGAGCTCCACAAAGGCACCGAGTGTGGATCTGGCTGTACAAGCACTGCCTGGGGCCTGTCAGAGCCTGTCTGCAGCTGCTAAGAGTGCAAGGCAGGGATGAGCCATCACCTCTCTATGCCCTGGGAGGACACCCAGCCCAGTGTGGGGCACAGCTTCCTGTCTGTCCGCTCAGAAGCGATATTGTTGTGTTCCCTGCACTCTCCCTTTGAACCAACACGTGCTACAACCTAGTATTTTGGTAGGGACCAATTACATTTGCATCTGGAAAGAGCTGCAGCCCTTGATCATAGCTGGTTTGTGTGAAACACAGTTAAGCCCAGAGGATGCGAAGTATCCTTCTGCTCCCATGGTGGATTTTGTGAGGTAGGGCTGCATCCAAGCACTGACATCGTTTACTCAAAGAAATTTATTATTGTATTGCAGCTCTCATGGTGCAATGTGACAGCTGTGACCTGTTTGTGAACTACAAACTCCACAGCGTTTTTCTGAATTAACACTCATAAATCAATAATGGCCTAAATAAAAGCAATTAATAATTTACATTGCACTGATACACTGTGCCTGAAGCGGTATTGAGCTTGAACCAAACTGGAACATCCACAGCAATGAGCTGCAACACAGTGAAGAAATAGTAATTCTACAAAGAATTAGATTTGAAGAAGTAAATTTGACACCATGCCTTCTCTCTCATCGGATACCTTATTTGCCTGCTGGTAGATTAGCAGTGGCTGCCTTATCTTTCATTCTGGCCAGCTGAAACCTCCTGCCAGCAGCTGCCCTGTGGCACAGACAGTCCAATATCCTGTGGCTGTGAGAGGTCCATCAGGAGTATCCAAGAGGCTTCTGTGTGAGCAGAAGACATTTTTACTGTTTTGACCATTGAACTTGAATGTTGCTGAAAGCTACAGCCAACTATGAAGACACTTCAGCTGCTGTTTTGAGTTGGAAATAAGGGACAATCTCCCCTTTTTTTTTTTTTTTGTGTAAAGTAAACTTTATGGAACAACCATTTCCTTAGAATAAAATATATTGTAGCCCACATTTGTGCTATCCACAAATTAAGTTATCATTTGCCTAATGTTTAAAGTATCATTTACCTGCTCTATAACACTGCAATATACAATTTTTTAATGCATGATTTAAAGAAATATTAACATTAAAGCCAGTATAATTTGAAGCCCAACCTTAGTATGCTCTGCTGTTACCTACAGGTTGTCCATGTCTGTATATGCGTTCTTTCTGTTGCCACAGCTGAGTCAGAAGTGGACACAACAGAATCCAAAAGTTTGAGAGAACACAGGTTTGGATATTAAATGGTTTTTAAAAGATGGCTTCAGAAATACTTGTGAATGTGGCAGCAGAGTGTAGACAAGCCTTCACTCAGCTGTCTGTATCTAGTCTCTTGCCAAGTTTCAACCTTTCACAAAATTGCACCTTTATAAGGATATAGGCAAATCAAATTACATCAAAAATCAATTTTGCACCTGAAATCTAGTATGAAGACAAGTACTGTCATGCATTTGGAAGCCCATATCTGTTGAGGACTAAAACAGTCCTCTTTGAATTTAGAATGCTCAGCCATGTTTCAGGTAGGCACCTCCTGAAGGCTTTGTCATCAGTTTCTGTTACAGCTCACCTGTGGATGAGTGCATGCTGTCACAAACGTTAGCATTTGCAAGGTGATGCTACAGAGAACATTATCATGTTGTGAAAGAAAGGTGAGTAGTGTTCAGTCACCACAAATGTTTCTGCCTTGCCCACCTTTGTCATCCTTAAGCAACTCAGACTTACAAGCAATCTTGACATTCAGTAAAAGGGTAATTTGAGATATCTTGAACAGTAGAGAGGGAGATACATCCTAAGGTAACAAAATGATGTATCTATCTCATGTCATTCTGATACTCCTATGGCAAACAGGGAAAAATGATTGGAAACTTTAAGTGAAGTGATAACTTACTTTCACCATGCTTCATCTTTTATGATGTATAAGCTGGGTGTTTACATGAAAACAAATGCTTGTTCTCCTTCTCTAATATCTGTGGATAGACCCTCCTGGCTAACACCAACACCATCTATCGAAAATGAAGATATATTATCAATGTTAAAACTTAGATTGTAGTGCACTTTCTGCACCTGAAAATATTGCTAATGAATCTTCATTATTACTTGAGGTAACCAAGTAAGCAGGAGGATATTGATAAAACAAACAACTCTACAGCATCAGAGTTAGAAATAAAAATATGCCTCTTTCAGCGAAGACACAAATGGTTTTCTTACTGGAAGAAGAAGCTACCAAATCACTGCTAGTGTATTTTCATTCACCCTTAGTCTCTGACTGGTCAGCTAAGCTGTATAAATGACTGGATTGCATAAACTGACTGCCTGTGGTGCATGATCATGACTTCTGCAGCAAGCACATTTTCATTCTCTTATACTCACACTGCTTATAAATAAGAAGTCCCCTGAGCTTGAATTTAAAAAGCTTTGCTAAAATTGCTTTATGATCTGTTCTCTTGTTTGCTATCTTACATCCAACAAGTCACTCTATAAATTTTGTAACTATTACTACTATCTTTATTAATCTATTTACAACCAGAAGTCCTTTTCTTTTGCCTGTAATGCCAATCTACTGTTTCCCTTTGGAAAGGGCTGCGCTGCAGTTATTGTTACAACCACAGCCCAAACAGTGATGCAACTCAGTCAGCCAAATTGTATTTTGTGGTCACTCCCTGTACCCTGCATCCCCTGGGCAGGAAGGCAGTCGTGTTCTCCATGTGATTAATATTTCATCCATAGCAAGCACATGTAGAAAAATACTTTAGACGCCATTGTAGAAATCATAATGTAGAAATACATTCTGAACAAGACCTGATTTACATCTTTTGCAAAATAAAAACACCCTCCTGCAAAAATGCACACAGCTGAGATCTTGCAGTTCTGCTACACCAGCCCTTTCTGAGGAGCTCTCCTGTGGTGGGCAGGCTAGGGAATGCTGGCTGCTCAGTCCTGGTGCTGTGCACTTGGGAAAGCTTTCCTCTATCTGTCCCACACAGCACAGGAAAGCTCTGCCGATGTTTGATGCTTCGCCTGTTCACCAGCTGTGGAGCTCAGAGGAAAATTCTCACAGGGTTTTGTTAAGATTTTTAGCAAGAGTCATCCAGGACCAGCTTGCTGCTGGGCCTCTGAAGCCTGCCCCACATGCAGCACTGTGTGGCTCTTGTCAGTAAAGCAGGCTTTCCTGGACAGGACCAAGACTTAGGCTTAAAAGGTCTTTCTTCCTCTCCTTAGCAAGGCTACATGTGGAAACCAATAAATATTAACATCTGAGATGCAAACATGGGGCAGCATCCAGGACTGTAATTTATGTGAGCAATTCAAGACTGTATTGGGAAAACAGAAATAAGGAAAACACAAGATTAGGAAGGTACAAAGACTCTGTGTGCCTGAGCATGGATTTAATTGTCAGCTAGTTTTTGCTTAAGGTCATGATAAGCTGTATATTGGAATATATATATATATAATCCCCAGGTATTTCCTGCAGAGGCTCTGTAGAAGTTTAATCAGTTCAGTCAACTCCCCCTTCTCCAGGCAGAAGGCTGAAATCAAGGGTGTCCTCTTAACCAGTGAGGAGCTGAGATGGCCTCTGGACACTTGTAACCATTGTGAGTGTCTGTATTTTCCTTGAGTGGCTGTCAAGGAGCACAAGCTCTCCGGTGAGCACACAGAATCATAGAATGAAAGAATCATAGCACCTTGTGTACAGGGATTTTAAGAACCCATGGGTAAGCAGTTAGAGTGGTACAGCACAGTCCTGTTCTACATATGGGATAATTTTATTTGAGCTACTTACTTTAGGCTCCAGAACTTCTCTGTGGCATAGGTAAGCTAACTAATTACTTGTCCTGTTGTAGTGTATCATAACAGTAACTCCCTGTAAAGCACAAAGCTCAGTTGCCTTAGAAGAGAAATAAAATCAGCTTCACTTAGGTAACTCCCTGGTGCTACAGCCTTGCTACTTACAGTTCTCTGTCAAAGAAATGGCTTTTATCTGCTCTGCCTTATGGGTCAGTTGGGAATAGCTACTTGTTTAAACACTGAGATTTACAGATAGGACATGCATGCTAAGCATGTCTTAAGGGGTTTCAGCCAAATTTTCACTTTGAAATTCTCCAGCCAAAAGGATTTTGCTGAAACTAATGTGCTACATGGAAATGGTGTCTTCAATTTTAAATGTTTGATGTGAAATTGATTTGTCAAGTGGGCTAAAATTAAAACAGAAGTCTCCTAGCAACATTTTCAACCTATTGTCTTATT